TAGCACGCTGTTCTCAGAGAGAATGAGAAAAGGCAAGGCGTTCCCAGTCCACTGGGCACTCTGCACCGTGCATTTTTGCTGCTCTGTTTTTGTTTTTTGTTTTTTTTTGCTGCTCTGTTTTTATGCCTTATCTAGTCCCTTGTTACCCGTGACTTCTCTGTGCCTCTGTTTCCTCATGTGTAAAATGGAGTTAATACAGCCATAAACTCACTGCTTGAGCCCTCATCAAATTCAGATGTTGAAATCTCCTCACGTGATGTTATGAGGAGATGGTTGTTAGAATTCCTTCACTTTCATATGTCAGAAGAAATCATAAAGGCATGATTAAGCCAATAACCTTGACCTTAATAGCAGTTCCTGATCTGCTGTAGTTGCAGGAACCCATAAAAATGATTCTAGGCTGATCAATGTCTTCTTTCTAGGGCTAAAGTTTAATGTAAAGCAATCATGTATTCTGGATATATCTGGTGATTAATTATTACCTTACTCAGCACATGGTGCAAAAGTTAATAGCTTCTTCTGAAGGGAAGAATGACCCATGGGACTTATTATTTTTTTTTTTTATTACTTTCTTTCATTTTATCATCTTAAATTCCCTGAAATGATCAGTCCAATATGGCTGTTACTACTGTTCAGCTAACTACATTGCTTCAGGGTCTAGGTTACAGTGAAACTGTGTGGAATGCCTTTTTTTGTTTGTTTGTTAAACACCTATTCAATGTGCCTGGTTCTAGGGGTATACTGGTGAACAACAGACACAAATTGGTATTGTGAAACAAAATATTGTGAGAATCTGCCTGCAGTGCAGGAGACCAGGGTCCGATCCCTGGGTTGGGAAGAGCCCCTGGAGAAGGAAATGTCAATCTACTCCAGTATTCTTTCTTGGAGCATCCCATGGACAGAGGAACCTGGCGGGCTACAGTCCATGGGGTTGCAAAGAGTTGGACACAACTGAGTGACTAACACACAAAATGGGGAAATTACAGAATGCCATGAACTTCCTTCATTCCTTCTTTCTTTATTCAACAAAGATTGAGTACTCAGTGTATGTATGACAGGCATTGTTCTAAGTGCTGAGGATAAAACCATGTGCCTAGTCTCATGGAGCTCATTGCTTTGTGTAACTCGTTGACCTGAGGTCTGGGTCCACATTTCGAAACAACTTGAGTGACAGATCAGAATAGGGTAAAGAAACAGAAGGAAAATAAGAAAATGTCTTCCGGGGGATATCAGAAAATATAGACGCAAAGCTGTAGTGAAATAGTAGAGTTTAAAAAGAATGAAGACGGGGGAGAGGATGAGAGAAAGTGAAATAGCTATCAAGGACCTTCTCTATATTCTATTATACAAGAATTGTTCTCATTTCTAAGACAGACTATGTATAAGCCATCATCTCCATATCCCACACAACTAACAGAATGCCTGGCACGGTGTTATTGGGCCTAGATTCATACGGCCAGATTCCTCACTTACTAATTTGTGGGATGCTAGGCAATTGTCACCAAGACTTAGTTTCCTGCAGTACACCTCACACAATTCAATCACTTCAGTTGTGTCTCTTTGTGACCCTATGGACTGTAGCCTGCCAGGCTCCTCTGTCCATGGGATTTTCCTAGCAAGAATATTGGAGTGGGTTGCCATGTCCTCCTCCAGGGGATCTTCCCAATTCAGGGATCAAATGCTGGTCTCCTGTGGCTTCCACATTGCAGATGGATTCTTTACCACTAAGCCACCGGGGAAACCCTACTATGTGCTAGGTACTATTATAAGCAATTCAACTATATGAACTCTCTTAATTCTCATAACAATCCTATGAAGTAGGTATTTGTCTCAGTTGCTCAGACTGTTAAAATACCCTAGTCAGCGAAAGTCGCTCAGTCGTGTCTGACTTTTTGAGACCTCCTCGGACTGTAGCCTGCCTGACTCCTCTGTCCATGGAATTCTTCAGGCAAGAATATTGGAGTGGGTAGCCTATCCCTTCTCCAAGGGATCTTCCCAACCCAGGAATCGAACCCAGATCTCCTGCACTGCAGGCAGATTCTTTACCAGCTGAGCTACCAGGGAAGCCCATGCATAGGCAGGGTGGCTTATAAGCAATTGAAATTTATTTTTCCTAGTTCTGGAGGTTGGAAGGCCAAGATCAGGTACCAGCATGGCGAAGGCTTGACTGCTGATTTCTCACGTCTTCACATGCAAATGAGCAGAGAAGGGTGGTGAGCTCGTTAGGAACTCAGTATTAGGGTTTTACTTTCATGACTTCATCTAATCCTTTTACCTCCCAACTGCCCACCTCACAACATCACATGAGGAGTAGGGTTTCAACATTTGAATTTGAGGGGGGTGCAAGCATAGAGTTCATGGCTGTGTTAACCCCATTACATATATGAGGAACCTGAGGCACAGAGAAGTTAGGGAAGCTTGCTCAAGGTCACACATGCAGTATCCCTCAAACTAGGAATCCAGCTTCAGCGCCAACCTGTGCTCTCAAACACTGCTCATATTGCCTTTCAGTAAGTGGCACATAGCAAGATTAGAAATAAACGAAAGCACTCTTATGCAAAGTTCTTATATTCTTCTATCCATCATTTACTGAATATTCACCAAACCCCTGTGTTGCCTTAGAACTCTGAGAGTATGGATGTAAGGGCTGAACAGAACACACCTGGCTCTCGCTCTCCTGGCTTTCAGATATAAGCAAATTACGTAACAGGGCTTCCAAGCTGGCTCAATGCTAAAGAATCTACCTGCCAATTCAGGAGATGCAGGAGACATGGGTTCGGTCCCTGGGTCAGAAAGATCCCTTGTAGGAGGAAATGCTGCCAACCCATTCCAATAACTGCGCCTGAGAAATCCCATGGACAAAGAAGCCCGATGGGGTACAGTCCATGGGGGTCACAAAGAGTTGGAGGTGACTGAACACACGCACACACAGCCCCACACCCCATAACCCCAGGTTTCCAACCTTTCCTGTTTTCTCTCCCATTTCTCTGTGTTCATGAACCCTCCAACCAACCAGCTGTCGACTAAAAAACACAGTCACAACCTGAAAGTAGAGAGTTATTTTATTTGATGGGAGCAGTTAGGACCCAAGCCCAGGAGACAGCATCTCAGTAGCTCAGACAAAACCGCTCCAAGGAGGCAGGAGGGGAGTCAGGCTATAAACAAGTTTGCAACAAAGGGAGCAGGCAGTCTGAACATGAAATATTATTGTGAGGTAAGAAAACTCAAATATCAGGTTAGGTAATTTAGCATACTATGTATGGAAGATGCCAGCCTCTGGGCTCACTGAATTCACCCCTCAGCTATCTGGGGCCAATCCTATTTCCTCGATCATCTTAAGGAGTGGCAACTGCTTCTTGCATCCGCCACCCTATTCCATTTTGAGCACCCTCATTCACATTGGGATGCCAGAAATCGCTGATGGCAATAAAACATTTCTTATTTATTGACATGGCAGGCAATATTTCATTTCACACAGTCCAGGTCTGATCTGGACCCATAACAGGGTCTTCCTAGGTCTCCTGGAGGACTGAGGCCAGGATGAGTCGACCTGTCTGGAAGAGACTGACCTTTTTCTTGCCAGTGACCTGATTGCAGTCTCCTTTCTCTCTGAGTCTCAGCTTAAAATGGAGGGATGTGTCCTGCGGTTCTTTCCCCGCAACCGACTTTCTGGGATTATTTACGCTCGAGACTCCCCAGCACCCAGGGCCCTTACTGACAACCCTGACCGGGTATCTCTGAGCTTCAAGCGTCTTCCCGCCTTTGATTCCCAGGAGACATTTTCCCTCCTAGGAGTCTTCCTCCACTATTCCGCTCGGCCTTCCGTTCCTGCCTGTCCCTGAGGCGAAGCGTGGTCCCCGCCCAGCCCCCAGCCCCGGGGTTCCCCGCCCGCCCTCAAGCCCAGGGGCCGCCATTGTCTGGCCTCGGCCTGCTCTCGGTTTTCCCTGAGAGGCGAAAGTTCTGGAACCCCCCAGGCCCGGTTCCCCTCACCGCTGGGGACCCCTGACCGGCGGGCAGGGAGGTCAGCGCTCTGGCCAGGGGGCCAAGCAGGCACCGGGAAAGGCCGGGAGGCGAAGAGCGGTTCGTGGGGGCCGGGGCGCGCCCAGCGCAGGCGCTGAGGCGAACTGGGCGGCCGGGCCCTTTGTACTCGGCGCCTCGGCCTCAAGGCCTGGTGGGCGCAGCGGCCAAGAGGAGCGCCGACAACGCCTCTGAGACGACACCCTCTCCCCTCAGATCGTGTCTTTTCTGTCGCGTTACGTTAACAGGGAATCAAACAGAGGGAAAGACACGGTTTCTTTCTCGGGCAGACGAGGAACGAAAGTGGAGCTGGGAGGTGGAAGCGCGAGCCTCCGCCGCGCGTCGGGTCACGTGGTGCGGCAGGGACCGCATGGCGGCGGCAGCCCGCGCGCGCCCCCGCGCCTCCGCCTGCTGGGCAGCTCGGGCGCNGCTTTGGCGGGGGGGGTCTCCCCGTGCCTCCTTAACTATCACCCATCCATCCTTCTTCTGAACCTCTGACCTGCGTCCTGGCCCCGCAGGCATTTTCTTTACAACTCGGTCTGCCCATTCTTTTTTTTCCCCCTCAGCTTTGTAGGGGCTTGATTTGGGAGAAAGGTTTCTTGGCTTACGAAGCAAAGAACATATTCACTCTTTTATTTGCGGTCATTTTTTTTTTTCCCACCTTGCAACTTTGATTGTCCGGAGCGTTTACTGGAGGTCGGTTTTGTTATGAGACAGCTATTCTCTGCTGGAATTCTTTACGTGGGCTCGAATAAAAGGGCCTGGGAACAAGTTGGTGGAACTGCGAGAGCCGTTTTGTACTCTCAGTAGGTGCAGCCTAAAGCTGAAAAAGCATATTTGTGGAGCTATCCCAGGGCTTTTTGCCTATAATTTTAAAACGGTGTTAGGAGTCCGCATTTTTGTCAAACATTTGTGTTGGGGAGAGTCCACCTACGGGTATTCTGAGACGACCTGGCAATCATGCTTTGTGTAGCAGTGAATCAAACAAAAAAGCACTTAAAGACCTCTAATGCTTCAGCGTAGAAATCAACTTTGATGAACTTTCAGAAATTACAGCACTGTTGAGAGAAAAGAGCCCAGTGAGTTGGTTGGAGGATGCCTTCAGTGTTCAGTGCCAGGCCACACTTAAAAAAGCATCCACAACCATCTTTTTCCTCCCTCCATTTTGAAAATTAAAAACACACGATTCAGATGTAGGTTTAAATACCAGGGTAGTCTAGGATAGTGGTTCTCAACCTTCTTTGCTCATTAGAATCACCCTGAATGCTGTTAGAAGTCCCTATGCCCTAACCGCTACAATCAGCATCTCTGAGGGTGGGACCTGGCATCGGGTATTATTTAAAGTTCTCTGTGAGTCCAGCGTGCAGCCAAGGGTAACAGTCACTTATCCAGGAGAAACATAGTAAGTGGGTAAGTAGTCAGTTAAGTCTATAACTTTGGATTTTTGAGTTAGCCTACAGTGTTTTTACCTGTTTACCTGCTCTGACCTTTGAACTTAGTTATTCTGACAGTATCCTTCAATTGCAGGAAAGAAAAAAATTGGGGAGGATTTTTAACTTTCTCAAAATTAAAAAGGTAAAGTTAATGAGGAAGTAATAGAATTTGAAGTCTTCTATTATAGATTGGGTAGAGGTAGTCCAGGACCACTTGGAATCGTTTTGAAAATTTTGGTGCATTTTTCTGAGGGCTTAATGGCTTTCATCAGATTTCCAAATGATGATGACCCTCCCCAGATAGTTAAGGATCACAACTTTATTTAGTTACATGCTAGACTAACCAGCCCTATGTAAAAAATTTGAAGCAGTCAGTCACTAATATTGTGTGTCATTACCTGGTGATTTGAGAACGTTAGAACAGATTTTGAAAATACAGTGCCCTTTTTAAAAGCACTATTTTAGTTAAATAAGATTCTTGGTATTTCAATGTCCCTTCTTGAAAGCATTTTCAATTTGATATAGCAGAAATTAAAATTATCACTAATTTTGAATTGATTAGATTGTGGTATATATTCATCAGGAAGATTAAAAATTCCAATTTTTATAAACTGTGGATCAGAAAACAAGGTGATTTAGGGGGGAAAATGCATAGGAATTCTACATCTGGATTTCTTTTTGATGCTAATAGTTAATTGAAATTTCTCCTAGTATGCCCTTGGGAGCTAGAGGGGAAAAAAGTATTTTATGATGACTGAATTGTCTCAAAGGACTGTACGTTTTTATCACCTCAACTTTTGCCTTTACCATGTTTTGGTTGGATAGACCAGGGTATCCAACCCAAACAGCATATAGTAAAACCTCACAAAATGAGAACTAGTTTTTGTACTTAATACAAGATGTGTTAATTCATGGTATTCTTTATGTTGTCTCTGAATGCTCAGTAATTATAAAGAAGTCAGTTTTATTTTGAATATTGACTTTTCAAGTGTGGTGTATTTTAGAAGCATTCATTTGTTTATTAGTAACACCCATTATTTATATATTTAAGCTAGTTGATTTAGAATAATTTATTCTGAAGTTATGAGCCATTTTAAATAGTGCTGTATAGTACCTAATTTAATACTTTGCTCATGAGTTTTCTTTTACATTTATAGAAGGTTTTATGGAAAAATTTTTCACTTGTTATCCAGATAGCAGTCTTTTTAGTTAGGTAAAAGAAATATTTTTGTTCTATAACTGGGGATGTGTAGGCTTAGATTAGTTAGACCAAGTTTGCATAAGTAGTCAGTGATGGATCCAAATGGAAGCCAAGTCAGGATACTGATTCCTAGTTTAATTTTCTTTGGATGAAACCAGAATAGTTTCTGAAAAAAATTTTTTTGTGACAATCTATTATGAAATTTTGCTAATTCACTCACCTTCCAAATCGGGATGATTTTAGGCAATATTTATATTGGGTCACATCCTTTTTCCAGTTTGTTCTAATGCCTCAGTTTTTCCTTAGTCCTCAAAACTTAGCAGCATTAATTCTGCCAGTGAGCGTGGAGTTTTCACTGTCAGTTGGTCCTGTAGTAGTTTGTATTGGCCGTTTGAGAAGTTGTTCCTTTTCTTCGGATGGTAGTCTGAGGTTTGTGCTTTGTGGAAATCCAGATGACCTATGGTGGGAGCAAAGGGGGCAGCATTTGATCAGCTTTACATTAAAGGGTCAGAAGTGGGCTAATAGCCTCTTTGAATTGATTTCTGAGAGCAAAGTAGGTGATGGTTGTAAGGATGTGCATGGTACAGAGATTTCCAGACTTATACATTGACCAGCTATAGAAAGTTCAGTTGGCGGAGGCTTTAAGGAGTGCCCAGGTTTTTCAGATAAGAATCTTATGCCATCTGTTTTATCATTTTATAAAGATAGGACGTTTTATGACCGAAACCTTAGGGATAAAACAAGCTCAGAATAATTTGAATAGATTATTTTTTTAAAAAATTGAATGAGTATAGCTCTATGAAGAATATATTTAGTTTTCCTTGTTTTTCTGTTTCTCTGCATACCTGTAAAAACCGTTATTGACTGACATTGGGAAGGTTGATTTATTGGAGAGAATATTGAATTGAGAGCTAAGGAGGGGAAAGAAAAGGGAATTCAACACATTCTTATTACGTGCTTCCTTACTTTTAATCCTCACAAGAGCCTTGTGAGACAAGTGTTGACCTTATTTAAAGATGAGGAAACAGACTTAGTGGTTAAGTATTAATAACTTACCGAACTAATTCACTCAGCTAGTAATTAGGGGAGGCTGAATTTTCGTCTTTAGGACTTTTTTTTTTCCTTCCTGAAGCCCATGTTTTTTTTTTTGCGTTAACCCTACTCGTTCTGCTCCTTATTACTAATTACATGATTTTATGCAGAACATTTCATCGGTGGATCATAGGTTTTTCTGTCATTTTGAGCAGATAATTACTAAGGTTTCTTCATTCAGTGTAAATCTGTCTTGATCAAATGAAAGGATTATCTGGCTGAGGAACAAAAAAGTAAAACTTACTTGGGGTAATATTATTTGAATTTTTGTTACACTGTTTTTCATATCTGTTTTTGAACTTAATACATATTTTTTTTAAGTGACACACAACTTCAAATCAGTTTAAAGCCAGTCTGTAAGTATGATTTTACATTGTAGAGTGTCTGAGACAGAAAGTCAGTTATAAATTCTTTGAAAATATAGGAGATATTATGTGCCTGAATGTTGTTATTTTTTCATTTTATGTATCCTAGTCCTGTGTTAAGTTTGCCACGCATCAGAGGATATAAGCTTACAGGTCACTTTGGAACTTTTATAATCCTACAGTGTTTTTCAGAGTGAGTTCTGTGACCCATTTGTATGTTCTGGAATCAGTTTTGTGGATCAGAAATAGCGTTAAAAACATGAAATAGAAAAGTAAATGATGAGAGTACATCACAGGTTAGGAAGTATTGATTCCTGAAATTTAGTAGAAGTGTATGTGTCTAGATTGGACTGTATTTCTTACTAAGTTCAGTTCAGTCGCTCAGTCAAGTCTGACTCTGCGACCCCATGAACTGCAGCATGCCAGGCCTCCCTGTCCATCACCAACTCCCGGAGTCCACCCAGATCCGTGTCCATCGAGTCGATGATGCCATCCAACCACCTCATCCTCTGTCGTCCCCTTCTCCTCTTGCCCTCTGGTCATGGTTGAGAAAACGCTTATTTGGAGCCGTACTTCTCAGCTGCAGCACTGGCGCGTTTTGGCCAGATGATGCTTTGTTGTGGAGGCTGTCCTGCGCCTGGCAGGATGTTTAGTCCTTTCCTGCCATGCCCACTAAGATGCAGTGGAGACCTTGTCCATCAGTTCCTTGGGGGCGAAATCAACCCCTCAGTGAGAAGGAGTCCTTTAGAGCGAGCGTTCTGACAGTGCACTCTGCTGGAGCTGAAAAGATGGCTGTATGATGGGGACTAAAATGGTATCTTGTGGGAAATAAGCAGGTCTCACAAACCCAGAGATTGATCTCTGTTTTGTGTCTGCAAGTTGTATGGTTGGGGATAAGTTATTTTCTCTGAGCTTCAGGTTTTTCACCTATAAAATGGTAAATGTAACATCAGTTTACTAGGATTATTCTTAAGAATTAAGTAATACATGAAATTATTTAGTATAGTACCTACCATGTTGTAGGCCTCAGTATGTCCCAGATGTTGTTAGTGTCTATGTTTATTGTTTTGTTTCAATCAAGTCTCTATGATTGAATAACTTTACAGAGGCAAGCAATTTTAAAAAATGATTCATATATGTAAATTTTTAAAAAGTTAATTTGTATATGCTTAGGTTATTCTTTTCACTGCACTGACTTTAGATACCTGGTTAAAGACAGTTGCTCTTTTCAAATGGAGAAAAACTGTTCAGTAGGATAAGGACTTCTAACTTTATTTGGGCTAAATAGCTCAGTTGGTAAAGAATCTCTCTGCAATGCAGGAGACCCGGGTTCAGTTCCTGGGTTGGGAAGATGCCCCTGGAGAAAGAAATGACAACGCACTTCAGTATTCTTTGCCTGGAGAACTCATAGGCAGAGCATCCTGGTGGGCTGCAGCCCATGGAGTCACAAGAGTTGGGCACAGCTGAGTAACGAGCACTTTCACTTTCACTTTTCCATAGGAATAAGGAATAAGAGAAAAACCTAAGTAGGATTATGTGTGTTAAATTCCTTGCCCTTTAAATATACTAACTTACTAAATTGTCACGAGAACCTTATTAGGTAGTTAATGTCATTAGGCCTATTTTCCTGAGGAAGACATCGAGTGAGGTACAAAGCTGGCAGAGATGGGTTCACACCTAAGCAGTCTAGCTGCAGTCAGCATCTTTAACCACTCTGTGGGACTGACTCTGTACTACGTAGAGTCCTTTCCTCTAATTTGGGTTCTCAGTCTGTAGCATGGCATGGTCTTTACCTGAGCTTGTTACTAAATACGAAAGATTTTCTAATAGTTCAGTGAGAATATATGCGAAGCTTCCTGCATGTCTTTTTTTAAGATGTTATTTTCCATAACTCACATGAGGACATTATTTAGTTTTCTGCTATCCTTTTTTTTTTTAATTTTAGTTATCATTAATGCTTTCATTTGTTATATCTCTTATCAATATCTCTACTCACTTATTTTTAATTTCCTTTAATATAATGACACATGATAGTATTTGCTGAGGTTAGCCACTAGTGAATTTTCTTGTAATTTTGTGTGGCATTTCTTAGGAGAAAATTTACAAGCTTGGATTAACCAACTCTATCCCCAGTTATTTTTGTGTGGCTAAGGAGCTAAGAATGGTTTTTACATTTTTAAGTCGTTGGAAAAAATAAGGATAATATTTTATGACATGCAAAAATTGTGTGAAATTTAAATTTTAGTGCCCATAAATATCAGTAAAATTTCATTGGAATATGGCCACGGATTCATGTGACTACTTATGCGCTACAACAACTGAATTAAATAATTGCTACAGACGGTATGCCCCACAAAACTTAAAATATCTGGCCCTTTACAGAAAAAGTTGCCAGCACCTGTTATAAGTAATTTATTTATTGTGGTTAGTTTGTTATTTTATTTCCCATCACTAGAATGTAAAGTTCATAAAGGCAGGGATGTCTGTTTTGTTCACTGAGCTATCCCAACTACCAGAAACAGTGACTGGCTTATAATAGCTGCTCATTAAATATTTGAATAAGGTTAAAAAAACACATGAATTTTTATAAAAATGAATAATTTTCAAAGTAATGATAGCTAATATTTATTAGGCACCAATTTAATCTCACAGCAGTTATGTGAAGTACAGGTAGTTTTATTATTCCCATTTAACACCGAGAAGAAACTTAAGACATTGGCGAAAAATAGCTTGCCCAGAGTTACCAAGCTTAATAGACAAGTAGGAGGGAACCACCGCTAGAGAATCTTGATGCTAACGTCTGTTTTTTTGTAAATGACCCTTATGCCTCATTCCTCTGCCTTTCACAGAAGATCCTTGGTTAAATTATATAGTGGAATAGTCTTACTTTAGGAGTCTTGTCATCTTTCTGATGCTGCGTCATGAGCCTGGTCTTCTTGCCCAAAACAGGCAATTAAGACACCATGGACTCTTCTCTATTTTCGGAATACTAGATCAGACTTGGCAGAACAAGTCTAGGAAGTATGGTGTTTGTAGCTTCTTCTTCATTTACTCTGTGTTGTTTTTAACTTTATCAGATTTTCACTTTTAAAATGGGTTTTGAAATTGGAATTGACATCATAGAAGATGCATTGAATATGACAGTGTAGATAACAGAAGGTTTGAATATTACTTTGAACTTCAGCTTGAATCAAGTTTCTTGATAATATGTATGCTTTCAACATGAGAATTTAACTTGACATTAAATGCAGAAAAATAAAATTATATCAGGATCGTCATTTTCTCTTGTTGAATAGAATTAGAGAAAATGACAGTGTATTTATTTATTTATATTTTCATTGATTTTAGCCTTTCCTTCAAGAGCATGTACTTTCTTATGCCCTGATGTACAAGGTTTTCACACTGCACTGCTGAAGTGCCTCCACTCCAGAAAAGTACACGGTTCCTTATATAAACTGCTAAGTGTTTACCGTGGTTTTCTTAGAAAAAAAAAAAATATTATCTAATAATGTTATAGTAGCTCAGTACTTTATTTTCTGAACAAATCAGACTCATCGTGATATTAAAGTTAAAACAATTTATAATAGAAAGTTTTTGAATTTCTTATATTGTAAAAGTAGTATAATAGCATACAGGGCATTTGAACAAAGAAAAAAGTGTGTCACTTTATCCTAACACAGCTCCTTTAATGTTTACATATAACTCTGTGAAGTATCTGTGTTTACTACATGGAATTTAGTATATGGAATATGGAGTAATGGAATTTTAGGTTTTGAGGAAGTCTGGTTTAATCTCATATTTAAAGAAACTGTGTGATTTGTTGGTGTATATATCCTTTCCTTCAGAAATCAACATCTTCCCTACCTGGGGCACTTTTTATTATACACTTAAAACTTATAATTTAAGAATTTCCTTTTCTACTTTAACAAAGTGTAAGGGAGGTATTTTGCTCTGTACAAAACTAAATAGGAATGCATTTGAATATTTCCTTTTGATGCATATTTGCATGTATGTATTATGCCTTCTTTTTAAATTTTTTCCAGCTTTCTAAAACCAACTTTTCCAACAACAATGATTTCCGTGCTCTTCTGCAGTCTCTGTATGCTACTTTTAAGGAGTTCAAAATGCACGAGCAGATTGAAAATGAATACATTATTGGTTTGCTTCAACAACGCAGCCAGACCATTTATAATGTACATTCTGACAATAAACTCTCTGAGATGCTTAGCCTCTTTGAAAAGGGTCTGAAGAATGTTAAGGTGAGTTGTACAAATGGATATTTATCACAGCTTGTGCCATCTTCTGATATATCATTGGCAAAACTTCTTAGGGTTTCATAGCAAATAATGTTGTGTTAAAAAAAAAATGACACTTGTTAAAGACAGTAAGGAAGACTTTTTTCAGGGGATTACTGCCGTGGAGTTTTGCAGTCAGAGAGAGAGATTGGGCTGAACTCAGAATATGACAAGGACCAGTGGGGAAAGCCAGAGAACAGGCTAAGGGTCAGGAAAATTACTAAGAGGAAGCATCAAGGCTGGGAGATTCCTGCTAGACTGACCCTTGTTGCCTTTTGCTGAGTATAGACCAAGGTGGCAAGATATTGAGGATGTGTAGATACTTGAGGGTTATCAAATGCTGAGGGTGGTGGGGGTAGGGTGGATAAACTGATTCTGGATGATTTTTGCTTAAACTGGAATAACTGGGCCAAGGACAGACCTCAAGGTCAGAGCCTAGTTGAGAAGACTCAGTGGAGCCTGAGAAGACTCTGGTTTAGTGAGCATCTTTGTCACACTTCTTTGTTGTCAGTTAGTTGCTGTTTTGCTACCCTATGGCCAGTAGCCTGCCAGGCTCAGTCCATGGAATTCTCCAGGCAAGAGTACTGGAGTGGGTTGCCATACCCTTCTCCAGGGGCTCTTTCTGACCCAGAGATCAAACCTGGGTCTCCTGCTTTACAGGCAGATTCTTTATCACTGAGCCACTAGGAAAGCCCGAATAGATGCAGTTGTTGGTGACAAAAGGTAAGATGGGCTTCTCTTATAGCTCAGTTGGCAAAGAATCCACCTGCAATTCAGGAAACCAGGGTTCGATTCCTGGGTCCTAAAGATCCCCTGGAGAAGGAAATGGCAACCCACTCCAGTGTTCTTGCCTGGGAAATCCCATGGACAGAGGAATCTCACAGGCTACAGTCCATGGGGTCGCAAGAGTTGGACACCACTTAGTGACTAAACCACCGCCAAAGGTAAGATTGTTACTTAGAATGAACAGGGCCATGGGACTGATTACAAAGAATAATTTTTAATTGTGTAACATAAGATTAAAGATATTTTTGGGTATTGTTTAGGATAATTGTGTATAGAGAAATTTCTCTATTAATTATATTTATTTATTATAGGGTATTTGAAATTTGATCTTCCACTGTCCCCCTTTTGGCTTGGTGAAACATGGACTTTAGTTGCAGCTCTGTCAGACCATCATGCACCTTTCATTGATAAGTTTGTATTCTAGGAAGAGTGTTGTGCAGCAGGGAAGAGGACGGATTGAAGGGAAAGAAAAGGCTCAAACAGTATGGTTGTTATAAAAAGATGATTATAATAATCTATAGAAGAGTACATAGTAGCCACTTGTGGGGAGGCGGGAGATTGCCTAGGGAGAGGTACTAGGAAGGAAGGTGGTATTTATTAAATGCTTCATTATACTCTTTGCATTCATATTATGTTCATGTATTGCCTATGCAATGAAATGATAAAGATCAGAACTAAAGTAGTGACTCGCAAAGATAGAGGGGAGGGAACAGACTTCAGAACAATGTAGGACATGAGGTTGATAAAGGTAGCGCTTGCAAACAGCTTCCCTGGTGGCTCAGTGGTAAAGAATCTGCCTGCCTGTACAGGAGAAGAGGGTTCGATCACTGGGTCAGCAAAGTATCCTGGAGGAGGAGATGGCAACCCACTCCAGTATTCTTGCATGGGAAATCCCATAGACAGAGGAGGCTGGCGGATTATGTCCATGGCGTCCCAAGAGTTGTTCGTGACTTAGCGACTAACACCACCAGTGCTTGCATATAAAAGGGAGGAAAGGAGAAAGAGAAACAAAATGAAACTGAGAATCGAGCTTGGCTTTCTAGGGAATGTAGATGAGACTTGGGGAATGAAGAGATCCATTATGGACAAGTTGAGTGTGACTTGTTTGTGCAGTCCAGGTGGATGTTGATTAGCAGGAGGAAGCCTTAGTTGGGCTTCAAGCTTGGAAGAGTAATTTGGTTTGGAAAAGCAAATTTGAGTATGCTTAGGGAAAATGTGTAAAATCCTGAGAGAATAGGACGTTGGGTAGACTGTTAGGAAGCAGCTGACTATAAATTAGTTCAGAAAGCAGGAGACTAGAGAGGACTCAGCAGGGAATAAAATGTTCCCACATTTTATCAGTTTCACTGTTTTGTAAATTCTCCACATGTAGTGATGGAAAAGTTACAGGAAGATACGATCTTAGTTCATATGGGGAGGAACAGTTTAGTTGTTGTCCAAGATTACAGTGCTTTACTTCAGGCTGAAGCGAGAGCCTTGCCTTCAGCAGTGTTTATGGTGTTCTGCAGGGTCATGTAGCAGCTATTCTGAATTGTTTAGGGGAGGATACACAAGGCAATCTTAAAGGGATTTTGTAGTGAATATAGTCCAGTAGACTCTTGTGGACTGCTTAGAGGTGTATTAGGAAAATGAACATATTGAAATGGTATAAATCTATGCATTAGAAATCAGTAGAAGTTTTGAGCAAGTGCTTGCTATTTCTAGACTTTTTATGACTTTTTAAAAAGAAGTAGAAGGTCGTATTAGTAAAAGATTTCAAGATTCTTTAAAGAGATGTTTTGAGGCCGTCTTTTGTACTTAGAAAAGTACAGAGCCCACTTTGTTATTTGTTAGTCTAATTTTTTTCCTGAAATTTCAAGTAACATTTTAAAGTGACTGTAGGATCAGATATAATATAAATTAGGAGGCAAAATTTTTATAGAATACAATTTTTTATTTCTAGAATGAGTATGAGCAGTTAAATTATGCAAAACAACTGAAAGAGAGACTGGAGGCTTTTACAAGAGACTTTCTTCCTCACATGAAAGAGGAAGAGGAGGTAAGTATAACTTTTCCTTCTTGTGATTTTGATCTATAAAATTAAAAAGCGTTATTTTGATTCTTCAAAATAATATATAGGAAGATGAACCTCTAGAACATTTTAGAAAACAAAGAAAAACCCAAGGGAAAAAAGCATTAATTTTGTCTCCTTAGAGAGCTTATTGCTTTTCATTGAATGAAGGATGAATTCATTTACTCAAAACATATTTATTGTCTTACTGTGTCGATGTACCTACCATGTTGAATGTTAACTTTTTATGCCTCTAATGCCTTTTCTGAACCGTTAGAAGATTTTAATTTTTTTTTTAATGTTTTCTGTGTTCATCCCAAGTTTAAACATTTTTAGTATCTTTTTTTTTAGTAGTGGATTTTAGTAATTAAATGGTGGTGTTGAACTTAGCAGCCTTATGCCTAGTGCATTCCTGTTAGGATGTCACTGAATGGATGAGCAAAACACTTCCTCATTTTCTCTTTTCTCTAAAGTAGGGTGAGTATCAGGAAAGGAATAGAGGGAATATTTTGTGAGGTACTGGATTTTTGTTCAGCTGTAAATCAGGTATTATAGTGGTTCTCACTAATAAGGCTTCACTTTATAATCAGATGGCTATTAAAAAAAATCTACTTTTAAGCCCTTTCTAGATCAGTTAAATCACATGGAAAGTAGATATTAACATGGGTATATTTTAAAGGCTCCCCAAATCACTGTAAAATGCAAATATGCAATCAGTTCTAAAACTGCTGAGTTACTAAAGCAGTGTTTATTAACCTTCGACGCACACCGAAATTATCTATGGAACAAAGGGAAAAAAGTGCGCTTTAGTCCACCTCTGAAGATTCTGATTCTTTCAGTTGGAGGTTGGGACCAAGCATCTGTTTTGAAGACTCTCCTACATGATACTGAATAGGTGAAGGTGTCGTCGAGCTCTGACTTTTCTGGTTCCAGTCCACCGGGTACCATTCTCCTATGATTCAGAGGCCCCTGCTTGGGTAGAGGTCAGTTGCTGTATACAGAGGCAGAAGACAGTTAACTGACTTCAATGTCTCGCCAGAAGAGGGTGCTTAAGAATGTGTGATACAGTGTGCAGGGAGACCTTCTGGGTCGAATGCTTTTAAATCGACTGAAAAAGCCATAGAAAGAAGGATCTTGATGCTGGTGTTCTAGTGTTAACAGCAACTTTTATGCCTTCCAAATATGTGGTCATAATACTACACTTGAACTATTAATACTTTAAAAGATGTAGGTTAAAACAAAACTAATGAAGCATATTTCCTTATGAGTATTGTATTTCCTTTAGGTTTTTCAGCCCATGTTAATGGAATATTTTACCTATGAAGAGCTTAAGGATATTAAAAAGAAAGTGATTGCACAGCACTGCTCTCAGAAGGATACTGCAGAGCTCCTTAGAGGTCTTAGCCTCTGGAATCAAGCTGAGGAGCGGCAGAAGTTTTTTAAATATTCTGTGGATGAAAAGTCAGATAAAGGTGAGAGTCATATGTTTAGATAGCTAATGGTTTATTCATCCCAAGGCCATTTACTTCCTGTTGTTACAAACTTAATATTTTGTTTGAAAAATAATTGAAGCCATTTCTTTTCAAGTATAGTAAATTTAATTGAGGACAATAGTTTCTTAGAATTTATTGTTGTCTGTGATAAATTATCGGCTTCCTTGGTGGCTCAGTGGTAAAGAATCCTCCTGCCAATACAGGAGACAGGAGTTTGATCACTGGGTGGGGAAGATCCCTTGGAGAAGGAAATGGCAACCCATTCCTGTATTCTTGCCTCGGAGATCCCATGGACAGAGGAGCCTGGTGATCTACAGTCCATGGAGTTGCAGAAGAATTGGACAAGACTTAGCAAGTAAACACCAGTGATAATTTATACAGCTCATTTATTTGGGCCACATGCAATATAGTGTTTCTTAAAGTAGTTTATATATAATAATAATAGTATTGATTAGCAATAATAACTGTCAATATTACTTATATGTAATATTTTAATAATATTTCAGTAATACTAGGTATTATTGCCAATCAAAATTATTGGAAACTACCATATATAGAGCACTTTTGCAGTGTCATCCAATTTTCTCAGCTCCACTGACCACAGTGGCTGTTTATATCTGTCCCTGTTTTTTTTTTAATCAGTTTTCAAAATCATTTGATGCTTATAGTTTCATCTTTACCTTTTCTCATAGCTTATATGCAGAAATACACAGGGGAGTGAGTATGAGAGGCGTAGTTTTTCTGTGTATAGTCACTTTGAGAAAATAAATGACAAATGGAAATAAAATATGCCTGCTTTATTTCTTAACAGACTGTTTCCTCATTTTTATTCTTTCTTTTCTTCGATAACTCTGCGTTTTAAAACATCATTAAATAAAATTATTGGTATCCTTAGGCTAGTAAAGATTCCTTTGCTTTTGCTAGATGAGCATAGCAATGACATTCCTTAAATTGCTCTAAAGTCTTTGAAATTGGTCCTTTTCTCTTATTTTTGGCACAAAGTAGGTGAGATGCATGTTGAACGTGTTGAAACTAAATTGTTTTTATAGCGTAAGCTGTAATTAAACCCATAAAGCTTATGTGCTTCACTCTGAAGTACAGCTTCTGCCTTACACACCAAGCCAAGACCTGTTGTGTCTGGTTTAGTTGTAATTATAACATAGGATTTAAAAACACCGTACTTGTTACATTGAATTTTCCCATTCTTTCAAAGTAAATTATAGCTGTGCTGTGTTTGAAATATTTGCCATTTGAAAAGGGTTAGTTTAAAGTAATTTGATGATAGCATTTCTTTATTTAAGTTGCTTTGTGAAAGACAAGTGTATAAGATATTCAAATTCCTCTCACTACTTTAATGATGAAATTTTTTTTTTTTTTTGAAACTTTTTTATATTCTTTGTTGTATATCTCATTTTCAGTGTTCCTTTGAAATATTGCTACTGAAATAATACGTTATAGGCGATTGGATATCCAGTGACTGTTTTCTGTAATAGTTGCTGACAAAAGATCCTTGGTAAAATGTATACCAGCATTAGAAATATTTACATTATGTTGTCTCAACTGGCTCTTAAATGGGATAAGTAGATTAGGGCACCTAAAGGTTAAAGAGGTCAGGTTTCACGAGCTCTTATAAGAAATGTGAAAATCAAAGAGGAAACACAAGGGAGATACTTGTCATGCATGAACGGAAAACATGGTGAGGTCGGTATGTCATTATAAATGCCTTGGAGATCTCATAATCTGGCTGACTCTATACTTGCTGACTTAAAGCTGTGTAACCTGTTGGATTCCTTTTTCAAATGATGCTTCTTATACTATAAAGTGAGCATTGTTTTTTTTTTTTTTTTGGTGACGCTTTTGTAAAAGGAAGTCAGTTCTGTGTTCATTACTGTAGCTCCCACTGATGCAGTATGATTTGGGCCATGATAGTTTAACCCTGAAGATCCTTAGCAAGTTTAACATCTCCATGTTACCTCTAATCCATGTTATTTCCTTTTCACACCTTGCAAGCAGGAAGGAGTGGACTTTAGGCACTGGATTTTACTTATGTGATTGTAATTTCTTACTGCATTTGCTCTTGTAGCCTTTGATGTTAAACTTTTCCTTTTTTATTTCAGAAGCAGAGGTGTCAGAACAGTCCGCAGGTATAACTCACCTTCCTCCTGAGGTAATGGTGTCAATCTTCAGTTACCTTAATCCTCGAGAATTATGTCGCTGCAGTCAAGTGAGCACTAAATGGTCTCAGCTGGCAAAGACTGGATCACTCTGGAAGCATCTTTACCCTGTTCATTGGGCCAGAGGTAGGTAAAGAGATGCTTCATTTGTTTTAAAAATATTTTAGTCTTTTTTTTTTTTTTAGGTGAATACATATAGACATTAATAAGTAAGGCCAGAGAGGGAAACTCTGAAAGGTTGACTAAAAGCTAGGTTTTATAGTTAGATTATAGGTCTGTCTTTGTGTACGGTTTGTAAAAGCTAGCAATGCTTAAGTATTCATGGGTGAATTGTGTGATGTGTGCAATTTCCTTTCAAATAATTAGGAAAAAATAATTGGGGATGGAATGAAAAATAATTGGCAAAACACTGATAATTGTTGAAGATAGGTGATAGATACATAGGTGTTCGTTATCCTACTTGTTTAATGCTGCTTATTCCTACTTTTGACTGTTTGGAATTTTCCGTAACAGAAAGTTAAAACTAAAATTAATAGGTTGTCAGAGCAACTTTAAATAGTTAGATGAGTATTTTAGAAATATAGAATAAATTAATCTGATAAAATTTAAAAATGAGGAAGTATTGTTTCCATTTTGAAAGTGGCTCAAGATAACTGAATCTGTTTTTGTCTATAGCATATTTTTTTGTGATTAGTTATGCCTCATGCTCTAACTTAACTGTTTTGAATTAGTTAATTTCATTGTGCTAAGGTAATTTTATATGTAAAGAAAGAAAATTTTGTTTTCATGAGTATATGATGCAGTCATGGTATAAATGTAACTAATATGGCATTTATTCTTCTGTCACTGAATTAAAACAATTTTTCTAGGTGAGTATTTACCTCAAATTTACATTGATTTTTAAAAAAAATTTTTTTCTGTAATTTGTCACTTTGACATGGAAATATATATTATTTTACATAAGCTATAAACCTAATTTTAAAAGTTTTATTTTTTATATTAATATGTAGCACTTTTAAAATAGGCTTTTGCTGGGTATTTAATTTTTTTCATTAAGCTATTTGGAATATTGGGTAGACTTATATAATCCAAATGATTAGAATTATTATTTTAATGTGGAATAACTTTTTCTATTGAGGATAATAATATATTAAGTGAAAAGTCAAATAAAGCAAGTTTGGATATATCAAATATTTTTTAAATTGTATCTTTGATTATGAAAAATTACTTATTAATGCATAATTAGGTACTGTTTGATATAAAGATCAAATATAAACGGTAGGCTAGATTTCTGTGATGTTAGCTATATCTTGTATATGCTGTATGTTGCTTTTTTCTCTTTTTAATATACTTAAAAAGTTCGACCCAATAAAAATGATGTTAATTTATTTACGGTATTTGTTTCCTGTTGTTCTTGATCACAGTTGATTTACCCCTTCCAAAGGATGTTTTGAAATGTCCCCTGTTTTGAAATGGAGGCGTTCTTGTTTGTCCCAGCTTGGAGTATTACACTGACATCCATAGAGTGGAGGCCAGAATTGCTGCTCAACACCGCCCAGTGCATGGGAGGGCCCTCTGCAAGGAAGACTTAGCCAGTCCAGAATATCATTTCCGTCCACTTCAGTCGCTCAGTTGTGTCTGACTCTGCGACCCCATGGCTCATCCTCTGTTGTCCCATTCAGAATATCATTGGTGCTAAGGTTGAAGATCCTTAACCTTAGAATCCAGTCAATCCTAAAGGAAATCAGTCCTGAAAATTCTTTGGAAGGACTGATGCTGAAGCTGGAAACTCCAGTACTTTGACCACCTTATGCGAAGAATGGACTTATTGGACAAGACCCTGATGCTGGGAAAAATTAAGGGCGGGAGGAGAAGGATGAGATGGTTGGATGGCATCACCAAGTTGATGGACCTGAGTTCGAGCAAGCTCCGGGAGTTGGTGATGGACAGGGAGGCATGGCATGCTGCAGTCCGTGGGGTCACAAAGAGTTGGACACGACTGAGTGACTGAACTGAACTGAAGATTGAGGAGCGCTAAGTTATTGATAGGTGTACTAATGTTAGGAGTTCAGAAATTTAATTGTGCATAGTCTTTTTCACAGTCAAGTAATTTCATTTCAGTGCATTCTGCGGGATCTTTAAATGTATGGTTTACCATACTCTTTTCCTTTGACTTCTGTTCCCACCTACTTCTGAATTGCAGACTAATTCAGTGCTGAATTAGAAAGTCTTGCTTCCTTTTGTTTATTAGCTGTGGTAATGGAGGTATTGCTGGAGCCAGTGTTGAAGCCACAGCAAGGGAAAAAGGTGTGGTTGTTTTCAGTGATTTCTGAAATTGCATGTTAAGACTGTTGATAATTATTTGTCATAGTTCTTTTGGTGTGTCTGAAATTGAATTTTGTGCTTATTTAAGTGTACTTTTTAAAATCACAATTGAGTATTTCTGACAATAGCTAGCTCATTGCCTAGAGCTCATGTATTTTTTTGTGCAGAGGTTTTTGTTATAAATAAGTTACTTTAGGAGAAGAAGAAAGAAAATAGTTTTTTTTTTTTGTTGTTGTTGTTGTTTTAATGATAGCCAGTCTAATCTTGGGCTTCCCTGCTGTCTTAGACAGTAAAGAATCCGCCTGCAATGCCAGAGACCTGGGTTTGATCCCTGGGTTGGGAAGATCTCCTGGAGGAGGGCATGGTAACCCACTCCAGTATTCTTGCCTGAAGAATCCCCGTGGACCAAGGAACCTGGTGGGCTACAGTCCATGGGGTTGCAAAGAGTCGGACACAATTGAGAGACTAAGAGCACAGTCCGATCTTACTTTGTTCCTTTTGTTTGTTTGTTGAGTAGGTGACTGGTATAGTGGTCCTGCAACTGAACTTGATACTGAACCTGATGAGGAATGGGTGAAGAATAGACAAGATGAAAGTCGTGCTTTTCAGGAGTGGGATGAAGATGCCGATATAGATGAATCTGGTAAGCTATGTTTAGAATTAAAACTGTTACATGGTGCTTTAATAATTAATGTTACATTTATGTAACAGGTATTTAGGTGCTAGGATTTATGTAGTTTGTGTTTTCTAAAGTAACTGGTGTTTTTAAGCCTACTGCTTTTAAAACTTTGACAGAACAGTAAGTGTACTTAAAATTCTGTTTCATTTTTAATTGTGTATAGGCTTGATTCCCACATGCTTTTATATTTATGCAAACACCTCAAAAATCAGAAAGTGACGGCTTTTTTCCCTATTGAAGTGATACACATGCATTGTAGTGCTCTTCAGTCTACATGCGTTTTTAGGGGCACTTCATTTGACCAGCTCAGTAGTGTTTATGAGTTGTCTGTGGCCCAGAGGAAGCACCATGAAGCTGCTGAACCTGTTTATTCATTTGTAAACAGTCATGCCACTTGCCTCATGTGGTGGCTGTAGAATTAAGAGGTAATATATATGGGAACTCATTGTAAATGGTAGAGGATTTTATAAACTAGCGTAGGCATTCATTAAGCACCGTGGGAGAATTCAGAGGTGACTAAGACTTGACCTTGCCCTCAGAGAACTCACAGACCGGAGAATTGAGAATACAAGGTTCTTAATCATGGTGCATGTTGGAGAGCGCTGTGGTAGAGGTGCAGAAAGATGCTCTTTGAGGATATGGAGGAGAAAGATGCAAATTCTGTCTTGATGTTATCCTAGCTAATGATTATTAAAGGAGGATGAAGTAGTAAAAAGAAAGAATTGATAAATAAGATATTCTTATACATCATAAAATTGAACCTGTAGGAATTTTTTATTTGTAAGCTGCCCACTTATAGTCAGCTGGTCTGGCAAAAGAGCTAAACTTGTGGAAAGTAAGGACTATAAATACAGAGATGACTCTTTCAGTATCAGGTTCATTTTTATGAAATAAGCAATGTGGCATAGTTTTAAATGTTTTGAAGGTGTCATATAAGGAAGAGGTCTATTCTAGTGGTATTTGGTGATTTGCTTACTCTGCGGCAGCCACTTTTTTTGCATGAGGTTAATAGGTAACAAAATGGAAAAAAATCCTTGGCTTTGTTTAGCTCAAAATTTAGAGGAGGCCGCTGACAGTAAACACAGGCAAAATATGTACTTTATTAGATAGTATCAAGTGCTGTGGAGAAAAAGAATGGAAATGTGTGCCAGGAAGAGAGGAAAGAAGTTAGCATTTCCCATAGAGTGGTAAGTAAGGTCTTTTGTGAAATTTGAGCGAAGACCTGAAGGAGTTACGGTCTTTAGTCTTATGTCACCTTAGGGAAGTGAAAGTTGTTCAGTCGTGTCTGACTCTTTGTGACCACATGGACTATACAGTCCTTGGAATTCTCCAGGCCAGAATACTGGAGTGGATAGCCATTCCCTTCTCCACGGGATCTTCCCAACCCAGGGATCGAACCCAGGTCTCCCGCATAGCACACGGGTTCTTTATCAGGTGAGCCCCAAGGGAAGCCTAAAAATACTGGAGTGGTATCCAGTCCCTTCTCCAGGGGATCTTCCCGACTCAGGAGTTGAACCAGGATATCTTGCATTGCAGGCGGATTCTTTACCAACTGAACTATTAGGAAGACTTGATTTACCCATTCTAAAAAAATCAACTTATAATATCCATGTTGAGTTTTAAAGATCTTATAAAACTTAATGTGTTTATATCAGCTCTTAAAGATAGGCAAAGAGACAACTGTTGTTTTCTTTCACATTGAAAGGGAAGGGTTAAGGTTATAATGGTGGAGCCTTTCTAAGGTAATATATCTGTTTAGCTGTGTAGTGCATCTAAGACTAAACTTGGATCTGCCGTCTATGTTAGTACTTTTTCAGCTTAGCTGTCTTTACTAGTCTTGCAGAGAAGTTATTACTCTTCATAGGATGTTTTGTTTTCTTTTTCTTAGGATTTCATAGTAAACAGTACATATTTAGAGAACCACAGAAACAAAAGAATCATTTGGAAATAAAATTATAGTAGAATAAATAGGGTTCACTAAAAGTCATTTTTATCCCTATATTCCACATTTATGTTTGGCTAAAGGAAGAATTTAGAATAATATCTCTAACATGGAAACAGTCACAAATTCAGAGTTACTCTTTCTACTTAAATTTCTTTTGTCTGCTACACTCAATTTTGTGTTAAATGAGACCTCCTCAGCTTCTCCTGTTGAACTATTTTATGTTTAGAGACATTCGAGTTAGATTGCGAGAAAGCAATAGGATAAGATTATTCATTCATTGTTTTTAGTATAGTGTGTTTTTTTTTCCCGTATATCAAATTGGGTTTTTTGTTTGTTGTTTGGTTTTGGTACTTGTTACAGTATTGCATCCTTTTTTAAACATCTAAGCTTTATAGAAGTTATTAAGTGAAAAGCAAAAGCTTTGCTCAGTTTTAAATTCTTAAAAATTCTAAGATATTTTTCCTTCCTTGCTTCATTAGGCCCAACCTAACTTAACTTGTTTCAAATCTCTTCTAGGTCCATGTCCCTTTTATTTATGTAAGATAATGAATGATAATTTTTATTATTTTTACTGTGGTTCATTTTCCTCTTCATATCCTGTATTCTTTTGAAGAACTTGCACTGTTCTTTAGGTAGTCAAAATGTTTTTTCCAAAATTTTTTCAGTACCTGAAACTGGGGTTATTTTTTTTTTTCTCCATTTATTTTTATTAGTTGGAGACTAATTACTTTACAATATTGTAGTGGTTTTTGTCATACATTGACAAGAATCAGCCATGGATTTACATGTATTCCCCATCCCGATCCCCCCTCCCACCTCCCTCTCTACCCAATTCCTCTGGGTCTTCCCAGTGCACCAGGCCCGAGCACTTGTCTCATGCATCCAACCTGGGCTGGTGATCTGTTTCACCCTAGATAATATACATGTTTCGATGCTGTTCTCTTGAAACATCCCACCCTCGCCTTCTCCCAGAGTCCACAAGTCTGTTCTATACATCTGAGTCTCTTTTTCTGTTTTGCATATAGGGTTATCGTTACCATCTTTCTAAATTCCATATATATGTGTTAGTATACTGTAATGGTCTTTATCTTTCTGGCTTACTTCGCTCTGTATAATGGGCTCCAGTTTCATCCATCTCATTAGAACTGATTCAAATGAATTCTTTTTAATGGCTGAGTAATATTCCATGGTGTATATGTACCACAGCTTCCTCATCCATTCGTCTGCTGATGGGCATCTAGGTTGCTTCCATGTCCTGGCTATTATAAACAGTGCTGCGATGAACATTGGGGTGCACGTGTCTCTTTCAGATCTGGTTTCCTCGGTGTGTATGCCCAGAAGTGGGATTGCTGGGTCATATGGCAGTTCTATTTCCAGCTTTTTAAGAAATCTCCACACTGTTTTCCATAGTGGCTGTACTAATTTGCATTCCCACCAACAGTGTAAGAGGGTTCCCTTTTCTCCACACCCTCTCCAGCATTTATTGCTTGTAGACTTTTGGATAGCAGCCATCCTGACTGGCGTGTAATGGTACCTCATTGTGGTTTTGATTTGCATTTCTCTGATAATGAGTGATGTTGAGCATCTTTTCATGTGTTTGTTAGCCATCTGTATGTCTTTGGAGAAATGTCTGTTTAGTTCTTTGGCCCATTTTTTGGTTATTTTTGATCTTCCCTCCGTTAATTAGCTTTAGAAGAAAATTACCTTCAACCTTGAATCATGTAAAAAATTTCTCCCTTCCCTCCCATTTCAACTTTTTTCCCCCTTTGTCTCTTTTCAGTTGATATCAGAACTGTTAAATGTTAAGTGCTGGCCAATGAGAACTTGTCCATTAAATTTGCTTTGCATATATAAAGGAGTTTAAGGAGAGCAAAAAGTATTTCATTTTTAATAATATAGTGATTCCTTGAGTAGCCTGATTATAAGTGGTGTGTCATTTTCTTAGACTTTTGAATTCATTTTCTAGAAGAGTCTGGAGAGGAATCGATTGCTATCAGCATTGCACAAATGGAGAAACGTTTACTCCACGGCTTAATTCATAATGTTCTACCATATGTTGGCACTTCTGTAAAAACTTTGGTATTAGCCTACAGCTCTGCAGTTTCCAGCAAAATGGTAGGTATAAATTTGCACTAGCTTGGGTGTTAAGAAAAAGTAGCAGTGATCTCCATTTGGTTTGCTTATTGCTAAGCTTGAGAAAAATAACTTTACCCATGAGTGTGCCTTCCCATAGGTAGGCATACACTGCCCATTTTCTTCTTTTTTCATTTCAGTTCTCATAGTAATCTTTGTAAGTAGATATCATTGCTACACATTATAGAAAAGGAAACAGAGACCAAGAGAGGTTAAATAATTTACTTAGTTTCACAGATGTTAAGTGACGAAGCCCAGGTTTTTTGTTTTAAAATTTTTTTTTGCCGCACCATGTGGCATGTGGGATCTTAGTTCCCTGACCAGGGATTGAACCCAGGCCTCTTGGCTTATAGGCATGGATTCTTAACCCCTGGACTATCAGGGGAAGTCATACATGACTCTTTATAATATGTAAGGCATGGTAAGGTGGGCAGATGAGATTAAATCACAGTTTTATAAAAGATGATCTTGTGACATCCTGCATCAGAATCTTCTTGGGTATTCCTTAAAAATGTAAATTAATAAAAACAGATTTTCTGGGGTTTCATCACAATATATATTTGTAATGCAGAATTGAAGTGATTTTTACATGCAAAAAAGTTTGAGAACTCCTGGATATATTGTTCACTAAAAGTTACGTCTCTAACCCTAACTAAGCATCTGCAGATCTTCACAGTGATTTTTTTTTTACCCCTTTTAGGTTAGGCAGATTTTAGAGCTTTGTCCTAATTTGGAGCATTTGGATCTCACCCAAACTGACATTTCAGATTCTGCGTTTGACAGGTTAGTTATTTTTGAGTATTTAAATTTGATGATTTCTAACTATGAATTGATAGAATTGTTCTGTAGTTTTTCATTTGCATCATTGCCACTGAATCATACTATTAGTTTTTGCTATCAAATTTTGGTCATGTTATGGCGATAACTTGATGGCAACCTCCAATTCTTCATTCTTGTCTTTAGGTCCCAAAACTTGTATCGTCCTGTCATCGTTGTAACCTCCTCCTGTGTCTAGGCTCTTGAGCAGTGCTGCAGGGGTGTAGACTGGGGCTGTTCTAAAGACGCTTTCGTTTTCAGTGAGTCTCGCAGTGCCCTTTGGCAGAGCTCGCTCTTACTCTTCATACTTACTCTGAAGTTCTGACACTTATTTTCAAGCTGTATTCAGACTTTGTTTCCTTGGATGCTGCTACTTTCCTCCTCCTTCTGCCTCACCCTGCCCTTTCCCACCCTAGTATTTATATCAGTACCTGTCTTCCTGTTCCAGAGAGGGCAGTGTACGCTTCCCTGGCTAAGGCTAATTCTCTACTAGTTCCTGGAGCTTGTTCTTCTGAAACAATTAGTTCCCAGTTACTCCTGTTATCTTTGCATATTTCTGGCATCTAAAAAAATTCTTGACAATAGATATTCAGTAAATGTTTGATTGATTATATAAGATTTAAACTCTTTCCTGTAGTTTCCATTTATTTACATATAAATAAATTCTTTTGAAGAATTTAACGATATTCACGAATAGTCTTGTTACTTCTTAATTAACAGTTGGTCTTGGCTTGGTTGCTGCCAGAGTCTTCGGCATCTTGATCTATCTGGATGTGAAAAAATCACAGATGTGGCTCTAGAGAAGATTTCTAGAGCTCTTGGAATTTTGATGACTCATGAGAGTGGCCTTTTAAAAACTTCTACAAGCAAAGTTACTTCGACTACATGGAAAAATAAAGACATTACCCTGCAGTCCTCCAAGCAGTCTGCCTGTGTGCATGATGTAACTAACAAGGATATTGGAGAAGAAGTAGATAATGAACACCCCTGGACTAAACCTATTTCTTCTGACGATTTCACTTCACCTTATGTGTGGATGTTAGATGCTGAAGATTTGGCTGATATTGAAGATGCTGTAGAATGGAGACATAGAAATGTTGAAAGTCTTTGTGTAATGGAAACAGCATCCAACTTCAGTTGTTCCTCCTCTGCTTGTTACAGTAAGGACATGGTTGGACTAAGGACTAGTGTCTGCTGGCAACAGCAGTGTGCTTCTCCGGCCTTTGCGTTTTGTGGTCATTCATACTGTTGTACAGGAACAGCTTTAAGAACTATGTCAGCTCTCCCAGAGTCTTCCGCGCTGTGTAGAAAAGCACCAAGGACTAGACTGCTTCGGGAAAAAGACTTAGTTTACTCTGGGAGTGAAAAATCTGACCAAGAGACTGGGCGTGTGCTTCTGTTTCTCAGTCTGTCTGGGTGTTACCAGATCACAGACCATGGGCTCAGGTGAGTAATCAGTTGCAGAGTGTTAGGAAACGGACGTGTTCGCCTCAGTGGAGTGTAAAATTTTGAATTTAAGTCATTCCTTTCAGCTGGTTTGTTTAACTGAAAGAGTTAACCGCTTCAGCTGTATTGCACTGTTGGAATGATATAACTTCAGCGTGACGTTTCAGTCATTTCAGTTCATTTGTGACGAGGACAAACTTAAAAGTTTAACAAATACTTAGCAAATACCTCCAACACATTTGCTCAGGTGCTTTAGTGGATGTAAAGCTGAATAAGATAGGTTTTACCCTCTATGACTTGTAACAGAGAAGGAATACGCATCTTCTGTGTATTATGTGTGTACATTCTCTAAGGGATGTTGGATTACAGATTCTCTGAGGCTGAGAGAGAGAGGCCTCTCATCCAGTTGCAGCAAATGATCAGAAAATGTAATGAAAAGAGGACCCTGACTTGAGCTTTGAAGAAAGACGAGGGATATTGATGAATGACAGAAGGAGAAGAGACCATTCCAGGCAGTAGCGGTCATATGAGCCCACAGTAAAGTGCCCGCCAGCCAGGAGACGCGGGTTCGATCCTTGGGTCAGGAAGATCCCCTGGAGAAAGGTGTGGCAACGCATTCTGGTACTCTTGCCTGGAGAATCCCATGGACAGAGGAGCCTGATGGGCTGCAGTCCATGGGGTCGCAAAGAGTCAGACACGTCTTATTGACTAAACAGCAACAAAAACGCTGTGTATCTGTTGTTAGGTTATTTTGTTGTTACAGTTGTTCTCAGCATTAATAGTGTGCAGTATTTGTTTTGATTATCTGTGACATGAGCCTTCAGAAATTGATTTCATGTTTTCTCTTTTACCCTATCATAGACTTGAATTTTACTCAGGCTCTTTAATGGGTGTCAGGCATGTTAAACGGTGAAAATTCATCCAGCATAAAGCCTAATAATCCCTCTTGTCTTTTAAGTATGGTCTTTAGCAGATTAAGTTGGACTCTGGGGAATATTCAAAGGAGATTTGGTTTTCTGGTTTGATTGTAGTGAAGGATGTATATTGGGGAATAGTGGGCAATAAGGCTATGACAGTTTAAATTCAGGGAAGAATTCATTGGGGGAATGGGGGACATAGGAACTACCTTAGGAACTGCAGTTTGAGTGCAGCTCAGATTTTAAAAAGTGCAGCTGTTTTAATTAGATTATCTTGGTAATGATTATCTACTATGTGACTTGCCCTCTTCCAACTGATAGGAGTCCAGAGTCCTTGCTTTCATAGAGTTTACAATCTAATGGTAGAAGTAAGACAAGCAAAGTAAACTATCAGACAGAATAGTCAATCTTTTAAAATTTAGTAAACCTTTTTAAATCTTTTTTGTGGCCAAACATGGTCTAAGTATTCCTTGTGCACTTGAGAAGAATGAGTATTCTGCTGTTGACTGGAATGTTCTCTATGTTTGTTAGGACTATCAGTTTATAGTGTAGTTCAAGTTCTCTGTTTCCCTCTTGGTCTTCTTCCATTGTTCTATCCGTTGTTGAAAATGGAGTATTGAAATCTCCAACTGTTTTTGGAGGACTGTTTGTTTTTCCCCTTAGTTCTTTCACTTTTGTGTATTTTGGAGCTCTGTTAAATGTGTGTGTGTTCATAATTTTTTTAATCTTTTGAGTGGCGTGGTGAGCCTTTTGCTAATATATCCTTTGTTTTTTAAAGGTTACCTTTTTAAAATTTAAAATCTCTTTCATTTCACAATGTTATAGCCCCCCAGCTCTCTTTTGGTTACTTTGTTTTGGCCACGCTTTGTGGCAGGTTGGACCTAGTTCCCCAACCATAGATTCAGCCAGTGTACCCTGCAGTGTACCTGTGGCATCTTAACCACAGGACTGCCAGGGAAGTCCTCTCTTTTGGTTGCTTTTTGCATGGAAATCTTTTCTCATGCTTTCCTTTTTAACCTCTTTGTGGTTTTGCGTCAAAAGTGAGGTCTGTAATACAGAGTGTATAGATGGATCCATGTTTTTAAAATTTTTTGATTAAAATTTTAAAAAATCTGTTGTCTGCTAATTGCTACCTTTTGGTAGGAGAATCTGATGGATTCGTATTTGAAGTAATTACTGATGGGGGGACTTTATGCCATATAGCTGTTTCTTTTCCTTATGACTTTCATGCTTTTGACTTTCATGCTTTTTTTCCTTATTTTCTCAGTGATGTCCTCTTTTTATGTTTTGTTTGTTGTAGTATACCATTTGATTCCCTTTCCCCCCATTTTCTTTATTTTTTAAAGTTTTTTTCTTGGTTATCTTAACGGATAAAACTAACACCTTGAAACTTAAAAACGATGTAGTTTGATAATCAGCTTAGTTTCAATCATGTACAAATACCCTACTCTTGACATCTCTGTCTCATCTCCGTTTATATTGTTATAGGTACAGGTTACATCTTTTTTTTTTTTAAACCTCAACATGAATCAGCCATAGGTATACAAATACCCCCTCCCTTTTGAACCTCCCTCCCCTCTCCCCATCCCACCCCTCTAGGTTGATACAGAGCCCCCGTTTGAGTTTCCTGAGCCACACAGCAAATTCCCGTTGGCTGTTTATTTTACAAACGGTAATTTAAGTTTCCATGTTACTCTTTCCGTACATCTCACCCTCTCCTCCCTTCTCCCCATGTCTATAAGTCTATTCTCTATGTCTGTTTCTCCATTGTTGCCCCGTTTATACATAATACAAAGTAGAAAGTGAAAGTCGCTCAGTCATGTCCAACTCTTTGCGACCCCATGGTCTGTATACAGTCCATGGAATTCTCCAGGCCAGAATACTGGGGTGGGCAGCCCTTCCCTTCTCCAGGGGATCTTCCCAACCCAGGGATCAAACCCAGGTCTCTTGTATTGCAGCCAGATTCTTTTACTAGCTGAGCTACAAGGGAAACCCAAGAATATTGGAGTGGGTAGCCTATCCCTTCTCCAGCGGATCTTCCTGACCCAGGAATTGAACCAGGGTCTCCTGCATTGCAGGAAGATTCTTTACCAACTATCAGGGAAGCTCTTTATACTTTGTGTACCCTTTAATATAGATTTATAATGAACATTTTATGCTTTTGTATGTGCATTTCTAACTAATCACTTCCTGCTTTCAAACGGTATTATACGACTTCGCAAAGAATGTAAGAATCTTCAGAGAGTAAGCTCTTGTTCCCCTCCCCATTCTTTGTGCTGTTTTTGTTCTATATTTTATTTCTATAAAAGTTTTAAACTCTATAATAACATTGTTAATATTTTTTCTTTGAACAATTGTATTTTAGAAAAAGAAATTAACAAATCTTGTTTCACCTTTTTTGGCATGCTTCTTTTGTAAAGTTTCATGTTTCCATTTGGTATTATTTTTCTTTTGCCTGCCAAGTCCTCTGTAGTTTTTCGCACTGTAAGTCTTCTGACAGTAAAAACTCTTATCAACTCTTGTCTGGAGAGCTCTTTATTTCACTTTGATTTTATAAAGATTTTCACTGTTTATAGAAATCAAGTTGGTAGTTTTGTTTTAGCTCTTTTAAGATGTTCCATTGTCTTTCAGCTTGCGTAATTTATGAGAATTGTATTCAGTTTTTATCTTCATTCTTCTGTATGTAATGCATGTTTTTTTCTTAAGCTGCCTTAAAAACTTCATTTCTGTTTTGAAAGCAGTTAGCACATGGTATGCCTTCGTGTAGATATGGATATCTTGCTTGGGATATCTTACTGAGATTCTTGGATCTGTTGTTTCTAGCTTTCATGAAATTGAAAAACAAGATTCATCCGTGATTTCCTCTAGTACTTTTTCTCTCTTCGTTATTCTGTAACCCTTGCTTCCTGCTGGGAGTTCATGTATGTCAGATTTCTTGATGCTGTCCATAGGTCACTTGATTGTAATAGTTCCCTGACTGTCATAACAAAGTACCACAAACTAGGTGGTTAAAATGACAGGAATTTATTCCCTCACAGTTCTGGAGACTAGAGTTCTGTAATCAAGGTATTGGCCAAACCATGCTCCCTTTGAAAACTTTTAAGGGAGCGTCTTTTCTTAAGTATTCCTACCTCTTATGTAACTAGGTGTTGCTTGGGCTGTGGCAGTAGCCCCGGTCTCTGCCTCGGTGTTCTTCACACGGCCGTCCCATTTTTGTGTCTGTGTATTTATGCATCTTCACATGGCATTATCTGTGTGCGTGTGTGTGTGTGTGTGTGTGTGTGTGTGGACATCAGTCTTGCTGGATTAAGGAACCCTAATGACCTAATCTTAACTTGATTAATTCTGCAAAGATCATATTTCCAACTGGAGTCACCCTTATGATACTGAGGGTTAAGGCTTCAACATATTTTTTTGAAGACAGAGGGGAAGGGGCACAGTTCAACTCATAATACTTAGTTTTTCCTTATTTTTTTCCTTACTGTTTTTGTTTTTCTCTTGGTGCTTTGTTTTGGTTCATCTGGTTGTTCTTCAAGTCCACGAATTGGTTTTACAGTGTTTAGTCGCTGCTGACGTCGTTCGGTGTACTTTTTATTTCAGATACTGTATTTTGTGTGTCTTGAAGTTTCATTTGGTGTACTTGTGTTCACCCCCATATACCTACACGCGTACACCTAAATACACAATGTATGTAAATGTATTAAAACATACCAAAATAGTAAAAATACATAAGATATTTTTCTGTTTCATTATGTTTGTATTTTCTTTTAAATTCTTGAGCATATTTAACATAAAATCTATTTTAAAGTCATTATGTATTAATTTCATCATCTTTATCATTTATTGGTCTGTTTATTGTTTGATTTGTTTTTTTATTCTTTGTATGTTTAATAGTTTTTGATTGGACACCAGATAATGTGAATTGTACAAAATCAATGAATTCTGGATTTTGTTCTGTTCTTTTAAAGATTACTGCTCTGAATCACTCCCTGATCTGTATTATCTCCTTAACTTGATATATTTCTAAAACTTTTTTTCTTATCACATGTATTATTAATACTTTGTTTAAATGTTTCTGTCTTT